ATGTCATTTTGGACGTGTGTGCAAAATTTCAGATCATTCGGACGTGGTTTGGTTGGGTTTTTGATCAAAAGCGGAATTCGGAAGAATTTTAGAAAATTTGGCTTGAATCCGATGTGTTTTGGGTGATTTGATGTTATTTGAGGTGTTTTGATGATTGGAACAAGTTTGAATAAGGTTTTAGAATATGTTTGTGTCTTTGGTTGAGGTCCCGGGGGCCTCGGGTGAGTTTCGGGTGGTCGATCGGATCATTTTGAAGTTGAGAAAATTGTAGAAGTTGCAGGTTTAGCTGTTGCAGAATTTTGCCCTTCGCGATCGCGTAGGGAATCTCGCGATCGCGTAGAAGCTTTTGAGGAGGCCGTCCAGTTGTTCTTCGCATTCGCGAAGGTTGGCTTGCGATCGCATAGAGTGGAGAGGTTATTCATCGCGAACACGGGAAGGTGGTTGCGTTCGCATAGAGTTAAATGGACCTGGGGTCATGGCTGGATTTTTGTTCATTGCGAACGCAAAGGGATGTCCGCGATCGCGTAGAGTTAGTCTCCTGGGCATTGCGTTCGCAGGGCTTTTGATACGTTCGCGTAGAGTAATTTTGGGGAGCTGAGTTTTTGTGCTTCGCGATCGCGATGAAAGAATTAATGCCTGGGTAGAAGGTTTTTAAACTCGTCTTGTCCACGATTTTGGGACTTATTTCCTCCATAGTTGGCCATTTTTAGAGCTTTTTGAAGGAGATTGAAGAGGGATTCAAGGGGAAATAATTGGAGGTAAGATTCTCTAACTTAAAACTTGATTATTATGTGAATTCCACCTAGAAAATCATGGAACTTAAGCTAAATATTGAAGAAACTGGGGCTTGGAAATTTGGACTTTTGGTTGGGGATTTGGAGGACCATTTGGGGTCGGATTTGAGAACTTTTGATTTGTATGAACTCGCGGGGAGTTAAGGAATCTATTGATGTGAAAATTATTGAATTCTGAGACGTGGGCCCGGGGGTCAGGTTTTGGTAATTTCGGGATTTGTGCTAATTATTGATTGTTTTCGCTTGTACTTCGTTCCCTTAGCATATTTTGACGTCCTCGTTCTAACTTTTGATAGATTCGATGCGCGTGGAGGCCGATTCGAGGGGCAAAGGCATTGTGAGCTAGAGATCTGACCGGTTCGAGGTGAGTAATGATTGTAAATGATGTTAAACCCCGGATTTGCACATCGTAGTGCTATATTGAGGTGAGGCACACGCTGGATGACGAGCGTGAGGTCGTGTACTCTTGGGGATTGTGACTTAGTCCATCCCGAATGACTATTTTACTGCGTATTTGACTGAAATATATTTGCTATCATTATGATTTGGGCTGAATGCCATATTTGGGCTTCGTGCCAACTATTTGAACCCTTCGGCGATTTCTATTGACATTTCCTCACTGTTTTGACTATATACTTGAACTTAGTCATGTTATTTTCCATTGTTTTTGTACTTAGCCATGTTTACTCAGTTTTAATACTTAAATGATATTTTAAATGATGTTTTGGGCATAGAAACATTGTTTTACTATAACCCGAGTGGCTTGTGAGGATTTTTGACTGAGTAAGGCCGAGGGCCTATGTCGTGAGGAGACATTTGATACTGATTATGAGGCCGAGGGCCTGAGATATGTACGCCACGAGGTGACTTGATTGATATGAGGACGAGGGCCTAGTGATGATGCCACAAGGTGGCTTGATATTGCGCTTGGGCCGTAAAGGGCCCCTCCAGGAGTCTGTATACCCCCAGTGAGCGCGGGTACCTGATAGTAGGCTATATAGTTGATATTTACACCTTAATATGACCATACTTTGTTGTTGTTTTATAGATATATTTCCAACAAAATGCTCTAAATAGAGTTCTTTTGTTTAGCAAGGAATATTATATGAGAGGAAGCAACATGGAGTGTTTTGGGGGCGATAATGTGAAGAAAAACGCCCACTCAAGAAGTACCTGAACATCAAGAAGCATAAATGGTCCGGGCAAGAAGGTCACCGCGACTGCGGTGAACCGCGACAGATTAATTCAAGGAGGCAGAAAGCTCAGCGTTCACCGTGGTCGACCGTGGTTGGCCGCGACCGCGGTGAACTGTTCAATCGCTGGAAGTTGTGGACCAAAGTGTAATTTCGGGAAAACTTTTGTAAAACCCCTATAAGCTTTAGACATTCGCCCAACTGAAAAAAAGAGGCTAATTTTAGACTACTTTTGGAGAAAGAACAAGTGTGAGAAGATCAACCAAACATTAGAGTTCTTCTATCTCTTTTTGATTCTTGCAATTTTACATTATGAACAATTTAGTAGTTCTTCCTTATTTTGTTATGAGTAGCTAAAAAATTATCTAGGGTTGATGGAACCAATTGTTGGTTGAAGTTTTTTAGTCAAGTTGTTATAATCGAGCCGGATTTATGATATGATTGTTCAACTATGTTTTGTATAGTGATTAATTGAATGGGCCCTTGATTAATCGTGTCTAATCACCTTATATTGCTTGAGAAAGAATATTGGGTTAGATAGCTGTTGAACAACACCACTTTTGGGTAATTGAAGAGATTCATTACTTGAACTTAAAAGTGGGTTTAGAGATAACAAAACTTTGGTGGGATAATCTAGAGTTGTATTCCTATAGTCAGCTAGAGTAGTTCGAGAGAATGCTCTAGTAAATTATCGTAGTTGATCGAGAGGTAATTACGATAGCCCATAACTCTTAATCTTCATAGAGTATTACGACGAAATTATAGCGGAAGAGTCAAGACCTAAACTAGCAATTGGTGAAATCACTGCCCTAGACCTTTTTACCATTGAATTATCTTTGTTTTAGCTTATTGTTGTTTTTAATAAGTAGTTGAAGTCGTTAAACAAAAACCCATTCTTTATTGATCAAAAATCTTGCATCTAGAGATTGATTGAGTTGATAATAACATTGTTGGAAAGTGTAATAGATAGGTTAGTTCCCTGAGGATTCGATTCCGAACTTAAAACCGAATTATATTTGAAGCGACCGCTTTGTCTTTTAAAAGACATAGTTGGGCATTATCAAATTTTGGCGTCGTTGCCGGGGAACTAACGGTGTTATTTATTACAACTTAGAAGTAGTGTTAAAAATTATTAGTTCAAATCAAATTTCAAAGGTGCTAAACAAATTTTCATTGAAATTCTAACGTTTGAACTCTTGTGGAATTTATGTGTATGCCTAGAAATTCTTTGAGGACTGGATAACTGCTTGAAGGACTTTCAGACCCCGATAAAACATTCAGGGCATTAAACCGTGCCAATAGGAGGATCTAACAATCACAACAACCACCTCAGCTTGACCTTGACATGGGTGACGTAGAGAACGTCAACGGAAACATCAGGGACGAGCAAGCTGACCCAAAATGTCAGAGTGGTGGCACCTCTTGTGCCCGAAACTGCACTTTATGACTGGGCTCAACCCACAACTGACAACCTGGCAAAGTGGAGACATTCTAGATCACCAACAACATGCTGCATCTACTGCAAAATAAGGGATTGTTCTCCGGGTCACACATTGAAGACCCTAAGCAACATTTGAAAAATTTTCTGTCAATTTGTGTGACTCAAAGGTAGCCAAATGTGACCCCAAAAGCTATCAAGCTATTACTGTTCCCGTTCTCTGTGACTGGAGAAGCTTAGACTTGGCTGAATTCGCTCCCAGTCAATTCCATTGTCACATGGGAGGAATTAGTAAAGCAGTTTTTGAATAAATTCTACCCACCCAACAAGACTGCAAGGCAGATTGATGAAATATTACAGTACAAGAAGCAACCGATGGAGACCTTGCAAGAAACTTGGGAAAGATTTAAAGGGATGCTGGTGAAGTGTCCTCACCATGGCATTCAAGACCAGATGCTTGGCCAGAGATTCTACATGGGATTAGCTGACAATCTAAAGTCCAATGTGGATGATTCTGCTGGAAGTGCATTTTTGAGTAAGACATTCACTGAGTGCAAGGTCCTTCTGGACAAGATGTCCTAGAACTTAGGGTGGATGACTAGAGGTACAACACTGGCACCCATAGTGCATTCAGTGCCTCTTGACCCAAATAATTCGCAGACAGAGAACATGGCCACACTTCTAACACAGATGAGTATTTTGACAAAGAAGATAGATGAGATGGGTACCAAACAGGTGCATATTATTGATACGACAAATGGAGGACTGTGTACACCCTGTGTTAATCAGTCCTACGTGTGTTCATGGAGCGGAGAAGGCAAAAATCAAGGGGCAAGGGAAGATATGAATTATGTTAACAACTTTGGTGGTCAGAGATAAGGAGGACAACAGTGGAGACCTACACCAAATCAGCAATACAGACCCAACATGCCTCAGCCTGGGAGCATGCAAGCTCACGGCCAATTGGTGCCATACCACCAGAGACAACAAGGCTACCCACAAAAGAACCAGCAACAGTTGACATATCAGCCACCTTATCAATAGCAAGATAACAACATGGTAGAGATTAGGGGGATGCTCCAGCAACTCATTGTGACAAACGGTAAGATGCAAGAAAAGTTGGTAGTACATGATTCAACTATAAAGAACATTGAAACTCAGTTGGGGGCAGTTATCTATGGCTTTGAACAATGGCCCCCACAGAACATTGCCAGCGGATACAAACATTAACCCTAAGGAGCAAAACCCGAATCAGCTAATGGCAGTAAGTCTTTGGAATGGGAGAGATTTAGACAAAGAGCAGGAGGTTGCACAAGCCAACAAGGAGACTACACCAGCCACTCCAACTCCACTAGAGGTAGATGAACCAACAAATCTGGCTGAAGTGGTAGTTGAACAGGGTCAAGATGAAAAGAGTAAGGCTAAGGTAAATGAACAAGCTGCAGAACAGGTGGTGCCTCTTGTTCCATAGAACCCAACAGAGAGAAGCCAGCAAGCAGTTCACAAAGGGTGATACCTGCACCATTCCCTCAAAGATTGGTAAAACAAAAGAAGGAAGATCGATACAAGAATTTCATGGAGATGTTGTGTCAAATTCAGTTGAATATTCCTTTGATGGATGCCTTGAGGGAGATGCCAGGTTACGCAAAGATGATGAAAGACCTAATGTCACGGAAGTTTGATTTTCAGGATCTATCCACAGTGACTCTGACGCAGACCTGCAGCGCAGTAGTGACCAGACCAATGGCTCAAAAGATGTCCGACCCAAGTAGTTTCACTATTCCTTGCACAATTGGGAGTTACGCCTTTGCAAAGGCATTATGTGATTTGGGAGCCAGCATAAATTTGATGTCGTTGGCTGTATACACCAAACTGGGCATTGGCAGAGCTAGACCGACTTCGATACTGCTGCAGCTGGCCGACCGCATGGTAAAAAGACCTACTGGGATTCTTGATGAAGTATTGGTGCAAGTGGGGAAGTTCGTGTTCCCTGCAGACTTTGTTATTCTGGATTGTCAGGTAGATGAGGAGATACCTATCATTTTAGGTAGGCCATTTTTGGCCACTGGGAGAGCCCTGATTGATTGTGAGACTGGGGAATTAAAAATGAGACTGAACGATGAAGAAGTCATATTCAATGTTCAGCATTCCATGAGGAGACCCAGTGAGTATGCGAATTGCTCTCTAGTGGAGGTAGTGGATGTGATCCTGCAAGAAGATAATGTGACCCTGACTGCTAAGGATCCATTGGAGGCATGTCTAATAAATTTAAAAGAAATGGATGGTGAAGGGTTGGCTAGGTGGGTTATGGCACTGGAAGGACAAGAATTTTGGAAAAGGGAACCTCAGTTCGAGTCCCTTGAGTTAGAGAAAAGAGCTACACCCCCAGCAAAGCCATCGGTAGAGGAACCACCCAAGTTGGAGCTGAAGCTACTCCCAGCTCACCTCAGGTACGTTTTCTTAGGTCCCGATTCTACATTGCCTATGATTATATCATCCGGTTTGTTAGATATGCAGGTAGAACAGCTCTTACAGGTACTGCAGGAAAGCAAGACTACCATTGGCTGGACTATGGCAGATATAAAGGGTATCAGCCCAGCCTTCTGTATGCATAAGATTCTCTTGGAAGAAGGGCACAAACCTTCCAAAGAACATCAACGAAGGCTGAACCCGAACATGAAGGAGGTAGTAAAGAAGGAAGTGATCAAATGGTTAGATGCAGGAATCATCTTCCCCATCTCAGATAGCAATTGGGTTAGCCCTGTCCAATGTGTACCGAAAAAGGGGGGAATGACTGTTGTGCAAAACGAGAACAATGAGTTGATCTCAACTCGTACAGTCACGGGATGGCGGATTTGCATGGATTACCGAAAATTGAACACAACCACCCGGAAGGACCACTTTCCCTTACCTTTCATTGACCAAATGTTGGACAGGCTGGCCGGGCGCTCGCACTTCTGTTTCTTGGATGGTTATTTAGGGTACAACCAGATATCCATAGCCCCCGAAGATAGAGAGAAAACATCCTTCACTTGTCTATATGGCATCTTCGCCTTTCGGAGAATGCCTTTTGGGCTATGTAAAGCACCGGCGACAATTCAACGGTGCATGTTAGCCATTTTCACAGACATGGTGGAGGATATTATAGAGGTCTTTATGGATGATTTCTCCGTGGTGGGAGATTCATTCGAGGACTATCTTCACAACTTAAGAAGAATGCTCAAAAGATGTGTGGAGACAAATTTAGTGTTAAATTGGAAAAAGTGCCATTTTATGGTAGAGGAAGGGATAGTCCTGGGACACCGAGTGTCCGGTAAGGGAATTGAGGTCGACCATGCCAAGGTGGATGTGATTGAAAAACTACCACCGCCCACTTCGGTCAAGGCGGTGAGAAGTTTCCTTGGACACGCCGGGTTCTACAGGTGATTCATCAAAGATTTCTCCAAAATTGCTAACCCATTATGCAAACTCCTTGAAAAGGATCACCCTTTTGTGTTTTCTAATAAATGCAGGTTGGCATTTGAGGAGCTGAAGAAGAGATTGGTGACTACACCCATCATTGTTGCACCCAACTGGGAGCAACCGTTTGAGTTCATGTGCGACGCTAGTGACTACGCCATAGGAGCAGTCTTGGGGCAGCGACAGGGTAAACTGATGCACCCGATTTATTATGCAATCAGAACACTGAGCGGTGCACAACTCAATTACACTGTGACGGAAAAGGAGATGATGGCTGTTGTTTTTGCATTCGACAAATTCAGGTCATACTTGATTGGCTCGAAAGTTATTGTTTATACTGACCATGCAGCAATTAGGTATCTGATAGAAAAGAAAGAGTCAAAACCACGCTTGATTCGCTGGGTTCTTCTATTACAAGAATTTGATCTGGAAATACGTGACCTAAAAGGGACAGAGAACCAAGTAGCTGACCACCTCTCAAGGTTGGAAGGAGCTGAAAAGAAGGTAGAGGTTGAGGATATAACAGTGACATTTCCGGATGAACAATTACTGGCAATGACAATGGAGGAGGCACCTTGGTATACTGATATTGCTAATTATTTAGCAAGTGGCATTGTACCTTATGAACTCTCCTCAATTCAAAAGAAAAAGTTCTTCCGTGATTGTTGATATTATTATTGGGATGAACCTCTATTGTTCAAAATATGTGTAGATAACATGATCCGGCGGTGTATCCCCGAGAGAGATCAACATTCTATTTTGCAGGCTTGCCATGCTTCACCATATGGTGGGCACTTTGGAGGAATTCGGACAGCAGCGAAGGTGTTGAAGTCAGGCTTATACTGACCTACTCTGTTCAAGGATGCTCATGTCTGGGTCAAAAGCTGCGATGAATGCCAAAGAACTGGCAACATATCTCGTAGACACGAGATGCCAATGACCACAATTCAAGAGGTGGAGATTTTTGACATGTGGGGGTTGACTTCATGGGACCATTCGTCAGCTCGTATGGTAATAAGTACATATTGGTAGCAGTTGACTATGTCTCCAAGTGGGTCGAAGCAGTGGCTCTCCCGACCAATGATGCTAAGGGGGTACTAGGCTTTTTAAAGAAGAATATTTTCACGCGTTTTGGTACCCCAAGAGCTATACTCAGTGATGGCGGGACCCATTTCTGCCATAGAGCATTCGCACGACTGCTGGAAAAATATGGAGTTCGGCATAAGGTGACCACCCCGTACCACCCACAATCAAGCGGGCAAGTTGAAGTGTTCAACATGGAGATTAAAAGTGTCCTTACAAAGACAGTGAATGCAACAAGGACTGACTGGGTAAAGAAATTGGATGACACATTGTGGGCATACCGCACAGCCTTCAAAACCCCTATTGGGATGTCACCGTACAAGTTGGTGTTTGGTAAGGCATGCCATCTCCCAGTTGAGCTAGAGCATAAAGCACTTTGGGCATTGCGACAGTTGAACTTAGACATGGAAACAACAGGCACTAACAGAGTCACAGGACTATATGAGCTCGAGGAATTCAGGTTCCACGCCTTTGAGAGTGCTAGATTATACAAAGAAAGGATGAAGTTAATGCATGATAAGCACATCTTGGATCGAAACTTCAAACCCGGAGATCGAGTGTTGTTATACAACTCGAGATTGAGATTGTTCCCAGGTAAGTTAAAATCCTGATGGTCAGGGCCCTTCAAAGTGGTGCAATTATTTTTAAGTGGAGATGTAGAGATTGAATCAGAAGATAGGACAAACAAGTTCACAGTAAATGGGCAAAGGTTGAAACATTACCTTGGCATGTCTGATGAAAAAGGGGATAGAGTGGTAATCACTTTGGGAGAGCCCCAGTACGCGGATGAGGAGTGATGGTCAAATGCTGGCGTCGTGCCGCGACGTTAAATCAGGCGCTGTGTGGAAGGCAACCCACGAGTGTGTTAATTAGGTAATTAAAAAAAAATGCACCCAGCACCGCGACCGAGGCAAACCGCGGTGGGAGGTAAACATTCTGCCTCGGTTTTTTAATCCCACCACGACCGCGGTGGACCGCGGTAAACCGCAGTGAGGCGTAAACTTTCTGCCTCAGATTTTCCAACTCACCGCGACCGCGATGGACCGCGGTCGGTCCAGGTAAGTCCTTTTCTTTTTTATTTATTTATTTATTTTCCAACCCCAAACCCCCCCTTTTAACCCCAAAACCCATGACCCCCTCCCCCATATTACCACTTTCTCTCTCTCTAATCCCTGACCTCCCCAACTCCTCTCTTCTTCTTCTTCTTCTTCTTCTTCTTCTTCTTCTTCTTCTTCTTCTTCTTTTTCTCCTTCACTCACACCACCCCCATCTTTCATTCCTCTCCTCCTTTCCCCCTTAAGGTAAGATTCTAACTCTTCTCTCTATTTTCTTTGGCATTGTGTTGTATTGTGTTGTTATTATATAATTTTATGTAGTGTTGAGATATAATTGTTGGTCTATATTTTTTTTTCTATATTCTTATTTTTGTTTTTCAATTTTGTCTTTGAGCTGATTGGTGAAGGGGCTGTAAATTGCATGTTTGAACGGTGTTATTGGTGGGTGATTGAATGAAGTAAGTATAGGGTGTGTTGGTGTGATAGTATACTTATTTGGGGAGGAGCTTGGATGTACCCATGAGGGCTAGATGTGTCTGGATGGCAATTTGCTCGCAAGGTGTTTGGGAAATTGCCCTAATGGGGATATAAGGAGATAGTGTGACATGGATATGGTGAAGTCTGAGTAACCATCCATAGTCACATATTTTGCAAACTCACTAATAGGAATTTCATTGTATGACAGGTACAATGAGCTCCTTCAGGAAAAGACGAAACACCAAACCTTCCATCAGTGCACCGGGCAACTCCTCACGTTCTAGGAGCCACACCAGTGCACCTTAGTTCGACAACACTCGGTTTGTCTCCAGCGCATCGGAGAATAGGTACAACCAAAAAGCAGCTAAGAAGTTACAACCAGAGGTACACATTGATCGAATGGCTTTGGAGGTGGAATGCCCCAATATGTTGGATGAGCTGCAGAGGTGTCAGCTGGACATTTTCTTCGAAGTACCGGAAAAAGCTAATGTTCAATTAGTAAGGGAGTTCTATGCAAACCTGCCAGAACATGAGAATGGGGTTGTGATGGTGCACAATACCCCGGTAAATGCATCCTTTGACGCCATACGCAGGGGTGACTTTGATCTTTATCGTACTTTTAGTGGAACAAGGGCCTTGTGGGGTACTCTTCTGGATACTATCTGTGGGCCGGACGGAGAGCACTTATGGATCAAGCACAGGATTACTCTCAACTCCCACTGTGTGAATTGGGAGGCCAAATGTTGGCTCACCATTGTCAACATTCGTTTGTTTCCATCCAGCAACACGATAGATGTTAATCTACCACGGGCGTTCGCAATCCACTGTTTTATGTCCCATACTGATTTTGATATGGCCCGGCTGATTCATGAAGAGATGTTCATTCGATCACCTGATCTTATCAAGGGTCACTACTTCCCTTCGCTAATCACCCGGCTGTGCCATTTTGCTCGAGTCCCTGAAGACCTTCGGGTTGATGGGAAATTGCCATTAAAAGCCCCATTTCGAGCGAGAAAAATTGGAATTAGACGAGAACCGGTGGTGAATGTTGATGACTCTGATGATGATTCGGCTGAGAATGATGATGATGATGATGATGAGGTAGCTGAGGTTCCCCCTCCTCCGAGAGTTGATGTGGCAGGCCCATCCCAGCCACGCCGGAGCACTCGTATGACAGCTTTAAAGTAGGATATGATTGGGTTGCGTACCTCAGTCACTGATTTGGGTGCCCGTGTTGATGCGCTGGCCGAGAGGCAAGTGAAATCGGAGAAGAAATTCTTGGGCTGGTTGAGAGCACTGGGAGGTGCATGCAACGTGAACCCAAACACTATCTCCGATCAGGAGTGAGCTTTCAGGGAAGTTCCTTAACCTCACTGTTCTTTAAATTTTAAGCCATGGGGACATGTCTTCATTTTAAGTGTGGGGTGGGGATACTTCATTGTATGTTGTAATTGTAATAATTAACTGTTGATTTTGCTTGTTTTGTCTTGCTTTGAGTGTTTTGATGAAGAGTAATAGTTTATTAGGAAAACTTAAATAGTAAATGACTTGTCCCGATGACGGATCTCTTTTGGCGGGTTCTTGAGGGACTAAGTTGGAAATGTTTTTTGGAATACGGAGACTCTTCCTGATGACGGATCCGTTAGACAATTTTCTTGAGGGAAGTAGTCTAGAGAAAAGACCAAAAAGATTTTTTATTTTATTTTTAGGTAGTGTAGTAACTCCCCCTTAGTTTTTCTTTTGGCCACGGTTCTTTTTCAAGGGTTTAGCTTGAACCGGGTATAGGTAGTTTTTATCTTTGATCCTTTTAGTTTAGGTTAGGATTAATGGGCCACGAGCGAAAAAACGATTTTGCTACACCTGAACACAATAGACACTAGAGTTCAACACCTAGCTTCATTAGTTAAATCCTGCTAGAGTGCCTTAAAATTGTACGTTTGCATCTAACTTGAACACTCAAAAGTGAATGTCTTGATAACCCAATCCGGAGTGAGTCATGTGCCATGTGTGTGTGAGTTTTACTGTGTTCCATGTTTCATATTTGATGCCTAGAACTTGCCTTGTATGTTTGCAAAGCAAAATGGTAGTCTCTTTCAGTTTTAGAAGTAATATAGGCATCTGTTGTTGAGCCAGATATATAAAGTGACCCACCTGAATACAATACATCGTAGTTAACCACGTTGAGCATATAAGCCTACTTCTTTGGAAACCACATTGCGAACCTTATCCAATTGTTTGAATAGCTGGCTGTTTGAACCCTTTTACCCCCAATAAGCACTTGAACGATAATGGAAATATGCAAAAGTAAAAGTGTGGGGTGGTGATTTGGTTTTTGAGTGGAACCATTGAAGAGAGAAAAGAGGTAGAATTGGATGCATAAAAGAAAAGGCACCACGAAGAAAATAATAATAATAATAATAATAATAATAATAATAATAATAATAATAATAATAATAATATTCTGAATGAGGGAGAAGTGGTGGCTTGTACAAATTGTACTTATTGGAAGGGGATGTGTTAAACAAATGAGGTGGAGTGCTGGTTGGCACAATTATGATCTTTAAGTTAATGTGATTGTATTAAAAAGTGCTTAGGTAGGTTAGTCACTATACCTAAATATATCATACCCGTCCCTTAGCCAACATTACAACCAAGTAAAGTCCTATTGATTTTATACTGAATGAGCTCAATTAGCGAAGTAGTACACTACGGGCAAGCCTGTGGTGCATCTTTGTGGCATGTGAACTTTCTATCTGAGAGTGAGCGAATTCCGTCTATCTCAGTTCCTACTTGTTTTAATTGTATTTATAAGTGGAACTACTCTCTTGTGTGATGTGAGGGCATGTGATTCGTAAAGGAAAGGTAAGTCTTGACTCTTGTATAGAGTAGTTTGAGTAAGTGTGGATGTGCATGGTACAAAAGATTTGACTCTTGGAGAAAAGGTTGTTCACTACTAAGTGCAAATTTTTATAAAATGTTCATGGTGTTAGTTGTTAAAGGAGAAGCTTAGGGAAGAAATCTTGATGGAGTATGGTGGATTGCTCGAGGACTAGCAATGATTTAAGTGTTGGGTGTTGATAGTAGGCTATATAGTTGATATTTACACCTTAATATGACCATACTTTGTTGTTGTTTTATAGATATATTGCCAACAAAATGCTCTAAGTAGTGTTCTTTTGTTTAGCAGGGAATATTATATGAGAGGAAGCAACATGGAGTGTTTTGGGGGCGATAATGTGAAGAAAAACGCTCACTCGAGAAGTACCCGAACATCAAGAAGCATAAATGGTACGGGCAAGAAGGTCACCGCGACCGCGGCAGATTAATTCAAGGAGGCAGAAAGCTCAGCGTTCACCGCGGTTGGCCGCGACCACGGTGAACTGTTCAATCGCTGGAAGTTGTGGACCAAAGTGTAATTTTGGGGAAACTTTAGTAAAACCTTTATAAGCTTTAGACATTCGCCCAACTGAAAAAAAGAGAAGCTAATTTTATACTACTTTTGGAGAAAGAACAAGTGTGAGAAGATCAACCAAACATTAGGGTTCTTCTATCTCTTTTTGATTCTTGCAATTTTACATTATGAACAATTTAGTAGCTCTTCCTTATTTTGTTATGAGTAGCTAAACAATTATCTAGGGTTGATGGAACCAATTGTTAGTTGAAGTTTTGACTCAAGTTGTTATAATCGAGCCGGATTTATGATATGATTGTTCAACTATGTTTGTATGGTGATTAATTGAATGGGCCCTTGATTAATCGTGTCTAATCACCTTATATTGCTTGAGAAAGAATATTGGGTTAGATAGCTGTTGAACAACACCACTTTTGGGTAATTGAAGAGATTCATTACTTGAACTTAAAAGTGGGTTTAGAGATAACAAAACTTTGGTGGGATAATCTAGAGTTGTATACCTATAGTCAGCTAGAGTAGTTCGAGAGAATGCTCTAGTAAATTATCGTAGTTGATCGAGAGTTAATTACGATAGCCCATAACTCTTAATCCTCATAGAGTATTACGGCGAGATTATAGCGGAAGAGTCAAGACCTAAACTAGCAATTGGGGAAATCACTGTCCTAGACCTTTTTACCATTGAATTATCTTTGTTTAAGCTTATTGTTGTTTTTAATAAGTAGTTGAAGTTGTTAAACAAAAACCCATTCTTTATTGATCAAAAATCTTGCATCTAGAGATTGATTGAGTTGATAATAACATTGCTGGAAAGTGTAATAGATAGGTTAGTTCCCTGAGGTGAGATCAGTACTCA